TATAAAACAATATTTAGATAAATAAATAAAAGAAAGCGGCACTGACTTTATGGCAATTTTTCCAACGCAAAAATGTAGCTCAACAATATGTTAAAATAAATAATTGCTCCAAACAGGAACAGTCATTCTCAGTACAGAGCATCTGTAAAGGATGTAAACACCACATACTTAAAATATTAGTACAACAATATTTAGTTAAATAAATAAAAGAAAGCGGCACTGACTTTATGGCAATTTTTCCAACGCAAAAATGTAGCTCAACAATATGTTAAAATAAATAATTGCTCCAAACAGGAACAGTCATTCTCAGTACAAAGAGCATCTGAAATAAAGTGCTAGGAGATGAAGTAACTCCACACTTTAACTTGTTCACTTAGGAACAGAAATGCTGTCTGGATCATCAGGTCTGAAATATTCACCATGACAGGGAAAGTCAGTTTCACTAGGCACTAGGCTTAGGGCTGTCTTTTGCCATTTTTCTTTTTTCTTCCAGTGCGTGCTTAAATATATTCTTCAGAGTGTTGTAAACTATTGGTCCATTTTCAGAATCAAAATTAACCTGGTGACAAAGAAAATTTATATTCAGGGCACTGTAATAAGAATTTTAGCTAGTCTATTTTAGGAGAAAAGAAATGGGGTAGAGAAAAAACTAACACTTCTAAACAAAATTATATATAATTTTAAGAGTATACACAATGCATTTCACACATTACTTTTAGTTGAAAGACTATAAGAGAATTGCCAATCATGTCAATACCAAACTTATCAATGAAAACCCAGCACTAAATCTAGTGCCTGGAGATGTAGTATACTTGTCAGGAAGTCAATAGTGAGTTTGAGTGAGTTTTGATTCCAGAGACTGATCACTGATAATATAAGGGAAAGGTCTCCTTATGAAGACAACGTGCACCAGCTGTCAGTGTTGTGCTGGGGTGACCTGAAAGGGCTCTCCACCTGCTGGTCATGCAGCCTCACGTCATAACTGACTTCTCTGTAAAAAAATCACAATGTCCATCTCTTTGAGGTTTCTGTGAATACTAAATGTGAGAGTCTTACATCTATGTGGCACATATAAAAACCTATGTAGCAGTCTCCTTTCCCCTTGGTGGGAAGGCACCACGTACACATATGTGGACCGTTTGCCCAAAGTCATCATACTGAAGGACTGGGAGTGATGCAGGATGGAGAACCAGAGCAATTATCACGCCTCCACTCAACTGCCAAAGAAATGTGTGACTCCTTAGGACAGGATCAGATCACTTGGCCAGTGACTCCCTCCTCCTGAGGGAAGGGAGGGAGGGAGGGAGGGTTGTCCTCTTGTGAAGGGCTGGGAAAGGTCCGGGATTTCACCCTGCTCTCATAACCCCTTCATCTGCCAACTCAGCGACACTGGCAGAGATAACAAGACTGCTGGGTCAGAGACAAACAACTTAATAACTCAAACAACATAATCACATGGGTTTCCTTGCCCTCCAAGTCACATGGGGTGACTTGGAAGACACAGGTGGAGGCTGCATAAGCAGGGCATTTACATCGTAACTAAGGACCCCAACGTGTGATGTGGGGGATGAGGGGGCTGTAGCAAATCTGCTAAGCTCTGGCCTATGGGGAGACATGATTTTTACCACATGGGAAGCAGACACCACACAGACTTCCTTGAAGAACCCAGGACGAGACCTGTCACAGCCTCTGCTCATAAGGACTGTGCACAAGGGGAGAGAATGAAGAACTGTCTCCTGAAATTTTTATATATGTGGAACAACTGATATAGCTAACTTTTCATTAGTATCCCCCTAAAAGGCCAACAGAAGTTGTAAAGAATTCCTGATGCTTTCGGAAAGATGAATATTAACGTTTTTTTTTTTCAGTTAAGTCAGAAATTTATTTTTATCTTAACCATGATATTGTCTATCCCATTTACAAAAACCTCTTATTAACATTAATAACAGTTTCAATTGATTACTTTATTAAACACCAAACCACAACCCTCCCCACACAGCAGGTAGCCTTTTGGGTCTATGGAAGTGTAATAAAATATAGACTTAAAAGGATCATGTGGTTGGGGTTTGAGTGGCTCACTTGGGAGCATGGAAGCTTAGTGCCATGAAGCTC